ATATGTCTGAATGTGAACCTAGGGATTTCAGGTTACCGTGCGTTAGATAGACCCAACAGTGACTAGTAAATGATATGGGCGAATCAATTTCCTTCTGCTTTAGGAGGTGAAAACAACGAGTGGCAAAATTAACCTCCAGTCAAACACAAGTGAACACTCGTTTTCCTTCAGAAAAAAACCTTCCGATGCACAGTGGGCCGACTTCTGACCAGTAGTATTGAAATATTACGGAAAAAAACAAAATGTTATAACCGAGATACGGTTTTTGTATTCTCCTTCGACAGCGTTTCAATTCAGAAAGACATGAGCGCACTTATTCTCCATTGGCGCGAAATGTGTCACAAACGCAACGAGTTCCCGACAATAGTCCAACGAATCGAGTTTCTCTGAATCATTCATTCTTTCCATGTGAAGCCAAGGTTGACTTATAAGCCAATACAGTCGACTAAAAGGCCGCCTCAGCCCGAAAACTTCAGCTTCATTCCAGGCTCACATGTGGTAACCCACCCAAGCTGAACAATTTCGAGCTCTACTGCGTCCAGATGGCTTCATATCGGTACTAAATTGAGAATGAAGTACAAGTGTGCGGTGTTCACATCGTTTGTCGAACCGCACTTTCACAACCCTCATGTTGGCGCGCCGAGTGCTTAGCTTTGTACCTGTTGTATTAAGTGTGATCTTCACCTAAAAATCACCGATAAACAGCATGGTGAATCGTAATTAGATGTAAGCTGTAAGATATAAGATGTAAGATGTAGGTAATCCAGAGTTCAACGCTTACCTCGAAGCACGAGCCATGGGTTCGGGCTCTCTCCTTAACTCTTGTTCCATCTGAACTACGAATTACCCGACCAGCTACGGACGCCTTAAAAAATATCCATCAGATTTCGCTGTCAGGGACCCGTCGCCAATACCGGAAAGTATTTCGCCTACGCGGTAAATAGAGCCGGTGACAGGCATTTCGTCATGACTGCCAAAATGTCGTAAGTTCATTTGCATTACAAGTGACTATCGGCCCGCCACAATTTACATACCGAACACCAATTGTCTTACGTTTGTTTGTTGTACACATCGTAACGTACACATCTTTGTGTTTTGCTAATTCCTTTCAGGTCGAGAGTCACTGTCCGGCAATCGAGAACCGAAGGGCAGCTTTGACCCGCCCACAAGCT